ACTCCTGTTTCCTGTACATTGTTGCAGAAAATAATTTTTGTTCAGCTTCTTCCTCCTTTCGAGAACTCTTCGCGCGCACGTGTTTGTGAGATCTGAAACTTCCTGATTTAAAGAAGAAAAAGCAGAAATACTATGATTAATCAAGTACGCTTAATGACTGCCATCAAAATTTGATTGTTCCTTTTACACCAAGACTTTGTTTCGAGCTGATGGAGAAAGATTGACTTTATTCTGAGTGCAACGTTAATTCTGGTGATGCACATTACTCGTGCTTGATGTTCAAATTTATTCGTCTGTCTGGTTGATAATTTTATTTATATTAATGCTTATTTCAATATCAAAGAAGATGAAGAATAAAATTTAATTGATTTGTAACATACAGTTGTCATACTTTGGGGTAAGTACTTTGATTTCATATTTCCTTCTAGATTACACATTTTGATCTGCACTTTAGTAAGTATTTATGGGTTATTGCTACACAACGCGATTTACTAAGTAAGCAATTCATTTGATTTACATTTGCTAATCCTTTAATTCAAAAATGCCAAGTGACTAATTTTGGTGCTCAAGTAATTCTAATTCACTACACTTAATTCTATTTCATTTTTACATTTAGCACCGCAACACACCATCTATTATAACATATAGTAATTTACATAATCTCGAAGGATACTTTTTATATGATTGTATATATCTGACTGAAGTGTGAAGAAAAAAATTATACAGTAAACACTTTCGTTAACTTAACGCCAGTTTCGCTTTCGATGAAAATAATAAAGGTAAATTTCATTGTTTGATTAATTCTGTTGGGCTGCAATTAATTATAATATTAGAAACTGAGTTACATTATTCGAGAAATGCAGCTTAAAATTATTTCATGTAAAACTGTTTAAATGTTATCTCTGGCTCCGCGTAGATAATAAGGTAACTTATCATCCCTCTTAGTCTTTTAGCAAAATAACACCAGATACAGAAGAAAATTTAAAAGAAACCTTTCTATTAGATCTTTAACTTAGCAATTTACACATCTTGTGTAATAAAAGCAGACTCTACCTGCTTGCTCTCGAAAACTAGAAGAAAGCAAATGGTAAAACTTCAGTATTTTAAAATTAGATATTCAAAAAAAACGAAGTCCGTTTATAAGTTTTGGCTCAGGCCTTCGACTCATTGGAGAAAACAAGCCTTGTAGAGTCTAAAGCAGATTCAAGCAAATTTGCGCAAATGGGGAATGAGACGGCCAGCGGTAGCTGCCCCAAACTCTCTTGTAAGTTCAAAAACTCCGTTTTTATATACATAAACTAATTTGCGTCCTGGTACGAGCCGACCAAAGTAGAGGTGAAAGTAAAGGTAAAATGCAACAGTAAATTGTTAATAAGCATAAAACCTTGCAAAAATAGCATTGAAGAAATTTTACCTGAATTGAAAATTGCAGTCCCAGGAATAAAATATTCAATTCAACTATTCGATGTGCAGTTTCACTATCAGTCTCGGCACAAAGGAAGATTCATATTTTGAAGATTCATATTCATATTTGATAATGTCTTTTCTTAAGTATTTTGAATGTACTGTAGCATTACTTCATTGCACTTTTGCTAGTTCCGTATAAATAACAGTTTCGGTAGCTCAGCCTCGACAACATGCGGAATAGGGAAAACTAACCAATATTTTAGCCCCTTTGTCAAAAATGGTAATGTAACACAGAAAATGGGGATGTTCCAAGAAGAAATCCAGTGATTTGATACATAATATCGTGGAACATTGGCCGCTTGATCCTAATTTATATCTCGGCAAGTAGGAATATGGTGATTTTGTAGTGTTTTTCGAGTATAACGCGAATGCGAGCCATTGTTCTCAAGAAAGCATAACTCACATTAGGCAAAGAGATCTTCCCTGCGTTATTTAATAAATTAACTGTTTTGAATAGAATACAGTTATACTAACTGTACATTTTGCAGAGTTAGCCTGTAAAGATGTCGGAATACAAAGATAAACCCATGCTGATGTTTACTAACAAAATTTTGTCAATTTGAAATTTGAAAGTTTCGAAGTAAAGGAAAAGACATAATGAAATGAGAGACTAAACCCAGAAAATGTGTCTTACTTTGATTTTAATACATCATCAGAAAATCAGATAAGTGCAGCTTTCTTTTCTAAATCGTATAAGTTATTAAAATTCATATATGCCTGATCATGAAAGCAGCAAGGCAAGAAATGGTTGATAATACCGAACTTATACAACAAGCACTAATTACCGGTTATTAATAAAATGCTTATATATTTATCTTTAAAGACATAGAATAATATTGAGAAGAAAATCATAGAAGTGTGTCAGAAGGACATGTAATATAGTTTTAAAAAATAAAGCATAGCTTGCGAACTAATTTTAAAAATATCAGATATGGAAATGAGGAAATTTATGCATTGTCAGAAGTGCATGGGGTGTTTAAAAGAAATAATATATTTATGAAAAGAGTTTGCTTTTAAAGAAACTGGTTTAAAATGTATTTTATTGCATTAAATCTTGAATCACATCATTTAAAGTGTGATATAGTAGAGATGTTTTTATCAGATTATGAGTATCACCATTTGTAAATACTGTATACCATTCGTTCACGTTTTGCGCCTAAGCTAACGGAGATTTTTCTTTTCATGGTATACTCTTAAAATTTGCTTTTATGTTTGGCTGAAGAAATACATACTATTTTGCATCTTCTTTCGCCGAAGAATTCTTTGTTAGACCTGGTAAGCCACATTAGTTACCGCTGAGTTTTGTTTATTTACTTCTTTTAAAATTCGAACCGAAAACATTATTAAGACTAAAGTTTCTACTTCTCTTCAATGCTCCTACGTCTGTGTGTTATACGCAATCCATATACTGTTAGAATTTTGTGTTGTGATAAGTTGGGCCCACCAGCTGCCGAGCGGTAAAGTCGCTGAACACTGGTAGTTCGGTCCGAGGTTCGAATTCCGCGAACAGGCTGGCTGCATGGGCGTTTTCGTGGTTTTCCCCATGTGTAACGTGTATACGAGCCAGTTTCCCCTAGAAAGTCCTCCACGAAGGCATCCCTTCCCTTAGGCAGATAGCCCTCGAGGCTATGCCATAATCACACACACCAGTGTGATAAGTTGATTTTGGGGAAAAAAAAGAAAAACAAATCTGAAAGGTTTAAGATTTGAAATTACGTCCAAAGGGGCGTTTTTGTGTGTTACCTTAATTTATTAAATATCATATTCTTTGCACTTAAACCATAAAATTCAGTTTAACAGCAATGTCGCCAAATAATTTTAAAATGAGCTTATATTTAGAATTTCCGATACACAGTTTCTCGCACTGGAGATAAAATTTTTTTTTACCCTGTAAGATTCTCACTAGTGTAAATCTCAGTTACTGTAGAAAGTGACGAATCTTAAGAACTAGTTAGAGGTAATAATCGCTTAAGTTCGTGTGACAAGAAACAACAAGATGGAAGGGTAACTAACCCTTTATTGTTTCAATAAGATTTAACAAAACTCCGTCTTGGAGTGTACAATCAAAGCCGACACTTGGGCTTGACCTTAAGAGACTAAAAATTAAACTAAGATTAACTAAAGAAATATAGCCGAAGCTATCAAGATTCTGGACTAGTTGGCCCCTTAATTCTATTTGACTACGAAGCTTATCAAGGGCCTGAGTATGGCCGAGCGTAATAACAGCTTTGAGAGAGAGAGTGGCCAAAATGCATACGCGCGTAAATCAGAAACTCTGATTCTCTCTAAGAACTTCGCGGTTAAATACCGCTCTTCCTCATTATGTATTCCGACGGGATTCTAAAACTACGTTACGTCGCGGTTAAATACCGCTCTTCCTCATTATGTATTCCGACGGGATTCTAAAACTACGTTCTGGCCGGAAGTAGTAAATTGAAGTTAAGAATTTGACAGGAAAGGAACTTAAAATTTAACTGTGAATAAAATTAACATAATCCTTACAACCCGTAGAGTGTTGCCATTGCTCGCTTGTAAATCGTCGTGTTTCTTAACCAAAAATTCGTTTAAGTTTTACAAAATATGAAATCAATAATAAAACAAATTCCAAATTTAAAATTTGGGCTTTCAGATGCCCATATTCGCAGTAGGATTACGTCATTCAAAATTTAATGACTCTAGATACCGTTGTTTTATCACAATGCGAGAAACATACATACATTTATGCAGATTCTTCATTATTTAATTTCTTCAAATATAATGCAGGACTCTAACATTTGGTGGCAACAATTTGAAAAGTGATACGCCGTTTATAGTGATTCGACGCAAATTCGCAAAACGAAAACAATAGTCTTTCAGGGACAAAGCCCCTTGGACTAAAAATCCGGAGCACTTCCCAGAGCAATAGTTTAAGAGTCTTTATTATAAACTAAAAATGGGAATTTAGTTAAAGAATTTAGCATGTCATGTTAGCATAATACAAGTTCAATATTCCTACAGCATTAGGAAGCTCCGCGGAATGACAATTTTCAGTTTTCAGCAGCTAAAAAATTTTTACCGTGTGACATCAGTTTTTTCAATTTGCGTTGCAGCAACTCTGTCATGACAGAAAACATATATTCTCAGTCTCGAATCCGGTCATAAGTGAAATCATAAAATACGGCTTCTTTGGGACGTCATGAAACGAACTTTTAATCCTAAAACATGGAGCAGCAAAAAAAAAAAAAAAAAAAAAAAAAAAAAAAAAAAAACCCGAACCTCGATTCCTTTTCCTCTCCAACAATAGGTCCATTCGTACAAAAGTCTGTAAGGTATTAAAAGAAAATCATCTTTTCATGCATCGTTTTTTATCTGATTTTCATAAAAGTAGTTCCAAAAACAAAAGCTTTCTATCATAAAGAATTATTACATGCATAATTTAGGATTGTGAAAGAGAACTTAATAATTCTTCCTTTAAAATAAATGACATTAATAAATCAGCATTCAAGCATCCAAATAAAAAATGCCAAATGCATTAAATATTAAAAGAATGTTACTTCTTGATTTCTTAGCATTCCACCGCTTTCTTCAGCATATTTTTTGCATTTGTCTCTGTAAGGGTATGGTAGACGGTAAATGCCCATCTAGAAACAGAAGGTAATAAATATTAAGCTCCAAATGTTTGAAACTGCTTATTTATAAATATGAAATACTCCACATTCTATCTCTCTTATACTTTATATATCTGCTTTAATTCAGAGAGGTATATGTTTGTTTTCTGTGAGTAAACTCCCCCAAATTATGATTTTTATCACATATAATATAAATATCTTATTTAACTCTCGACAAAATTAATCCGAACCTTTAAATTTCATAACCTTAATTCATTAACCAAACCACGGCTACCAAAGCAATGATTATGTGAATACCTTCCTATATAAGGTCCGAAATGTCAGATCCCCATCAAAGTTATTACATTGTTACATCTGCACAAAACTCAACAAGGAAATTTCATATAAAATTTACGAAAAATTCATTAATGTAAAGGAATTTGGTAAAGCTGTATGTTGCTCGACGCATCGCACTTGGGGAAATACTAAGTAACAATTACATTCAAGGGAGCGAACAAGGAACTGATGGACTGGAATGATTTCCCTAAGACGAATTATTCAAGGCCCTAGATGAATTAAGCCTTTTGTGGAGGAGGTCGTTTTACAGAGTGGTACCAATGTTGATTTAATGTTCTAATAAATGCTGGTTATTTTAAGAGGCTGTCGTCTACGACAGGTGTCGCCATTAGAAGTTTCACTTTGTTCTTGGAAAATAATCCATCGTAATAGTTTTTGGCAAGCCATAGTTGAATTCTTGACAATTCAATAAGGATTTTCAAGATTTTCTGAGTAGGTTTTCCTAGTCAGTTTAATCCGAAAAGAAATTACTGCGAAATTGTCCGAAAGAAATTACTTCGGTTAAAGAAGTGATTGACATGGTAACATGTTACTTTCAGCTGTAGTTCATTCATAAATTAAAATATTCAGACTAGCCTTTTCCTCAAAAAACTAAGGCATAAAGAAATTTAGCATGTCAACAGAAATTTAAAGAGCGCGACAAAATGAGCAGGATGCATGGATGCATTTCAACAAAATTTCCTGTCTGTTGAAATGATCCATGTTGTAATAGCGTATATAATTTCCTGTATTGAGCTAAAAACATTTTTCTCAGAAGCTGTCTATTGTATAATTAGCTGTTCATTAGGTATTATTTTCAAAATCATTGTTCATAATTTCAAGATCATTGCTATTAATTTCGAAATAGAGTTAGCAGCTGCATTCACTACGTATTTTTTATTTTGAACCTAACTTTATAATTTATTGAATGAAAATGAAATACCTAACAACATTTAGTGATGCAAAGGGAAACGAGAAGTAGTTAAAAAATTAAGTTGCTTGAAGATAAATAGGGATTAGAGTCTCTAATGCTTGTTATTTGTTAGTTCTTGCGTTTTGAGACCATTGCTATAACATTTTCTCCAATTTTTTTCTGCCCATTATACGTTTAATGCTTTTTTATTGCATTATCATGTGTGACAAAAATATATTTAACTGACATCACTGCTGCGTATCACACTCATTGACGAAAAGTTTACCGATGTTTGGTGATATTAACTCAGCTGTACAACATATCTGAAAATTCCTTTGGTCTCCTCAGATTTTAGAGAAAACTTGCCTACGTAAGGTAGACTGATAGTTAAAGACAGTGGGGTGTTAACTACAAAACTAAAAGCTATATATATTTCTTTAAATTTTCTTCAAAGTCTTCATTTATAAGCTCATATGATCTATTAAAACGGAATTTTCGTGAAATATGCAACAGTTAGCTGTTAGCTGGAAAACTTTAACATGGCAAAAAAATTTCAATGAAAATCGTTTTGTGCTCTGGTTATTTTCTGAGTATCGAATTATAGTACTTTCTGTGACATAATAATTTAGTTTATCTAAGGTTTTGCTTTTATTACATTTTAGCTTCCACTTGCAAAAATATAACCACATAGTCTTTCTTTCAGCGAACAAAATCAATCTGCCCTAAAATTTACAGTTTAAAATAATGATTTCCATCCAAAGAATGTCGGATGCCTTACTTGTCGGATGGCTACGGATGTTTCATATCCCGGGCTGATGTTAAAACCATAGTCTTCAGGGTTCGGTAAAATATCGGATTCGTGAAGTACCACTCGTGCTCCAGCACTTGTAGTAATCGGAACGTAGCTAGCAACGTCCAAGTTTAAAGTCAGTTCCAAACCTATAAATGAAGTAACTGATAATTAATGATCGTGACGGAAAAGATGTAACGTATAAGTAAGTTATTATACATATGATTCTGTATATAAAAGTATTCTTATATAAAAAGTGACCCCTTACAACATAATAGCTTTCTCAGCTATGCGTGAATTACGGTTGATATTTCCTTTATATTTATTTTTTTATCTCCCATTCACGTCTAATGAAATTTCTAACATAATATTTAATTGGATATTGGCTATTATTTGTTACTTTAATCAATAAAGCGTGCAACGAGCGTAAGACTTTTTAATCATAAAAAATAACTGGAAAAATTCCTTTTGTTAGTATGGTTTCTTTGTCTTTTTCTATATATTAATACTTATCTGAATTCTTGAGTAGTTCAAGAATAAAGAAGAAAAGGAACATTTCTTTTCATAACTTAGAACTTTGCGTATTTCAACAAATATTGTGGGTCTTAACGTCAGAGAGTTACAAATTCAGCGTCCTGTTTATAATGTTTTGACAGTTCCTTTCTGTATATTGACCATTCTTCTTCAGTGTATTTGAGATACTTCTATTAAATTGTGAATAATAATGATGGAATATGAGTATATGTTCCATTTATTGACTATTTTATATATCGTGCAAATGAAATTTTTATTCGTTATAAAACTTGCCTTATAGTTTCAGATATTGAGGAATTGCCTCCGATTTTATTTAATTATTTAATAAAGTCACGTTTAAAATTTCATTTCATGTTTTGGGAAGAGGACCTGGATGTTTTAGGGATAAAATTTTGCTGAGCTATGAAATATGTAAAATTCGTGTAGTCTACGGCAAGCATAGATTGTTGTATAACCAGCCTATTATTTAACCAATCAGATTATTTATTATTTAAGAGATTCAATTATTATTTAACAGACCAGTTTTGATAATGTCCAGCATCAGGAATAATAACATAAAATAATGTGCTGCTAAAACATTATACACAATTTTACATTAAGTTTCTGGCTTCTACATCATGGAAATGGTTCTAAGAGAGTAACGGTAGTTAATGAATGCATGATAAAACAATCTAGTGTACCTTTTTTCAATCATACTTTAATATTAGTAAATGAATGAGGCTGATTGTCTCTTATACCCTGTCTCCCTCAAAAATTGCTTCAAGTCATATACCATTTGAACGCTGACGCCTTTCAAGCCATCAGTCAAAGTGTTATAACAGCTTACACTGCCTTTCAGTGGGGCTTGGCTACTTTCACAGATAACACTATTACCAACATGACATCAGATAATGTTCATCACTAGACCGTGCATGACTGGTTGTTTGGGGTCTAATCCTTGCACTGTAATTTCATCTGCTCTAAGCAGAGGAATATATTTATCTGAGGATCCAAGATTTTGAACGGTGCAGAAAGAAGTTAAACTAAAGACTTTATGCTGATCCCATAAAAATGGTCTTCAAATTACGTGTCTCTTTGAATTACATGCAACTTCGAGGAATTCTGCAAGTCAAAATCAAAATCCAAAAGTTTTTAAATATTATGTCAACGCAAAGCTAAACATCTAAAATAATATCTTTTGCAATATTAATGCTATTGAATGCAATACTAATTTTCTTTTCAGTTTTTACAAGAAACGTACGCAACAGTGATATTTTTTCACCGCATTTCCTAACATTAACTTTCCGGAAAAAGGTAAGGTCTCGCTCTTCAAAACATAATTTTGAAGTATTTAAGCCAACAAAATCTGAAAAATCACTCATCTGTGACGAAACGTTTTGAACACAAAATATGATAATGACTGCTGTATGAAAGAACTTATTTATTTGCAGACAATATTTAGTTTACCAAATCATTTTATTTCTGATAATTATTCAGGATGAGTAATTTAAATTTAGCAGCAATTACGTTTTTTACTGTGCTGGTTCGTGAATGAGGCGGGTTTTAAGTTTCTCACACTACATAATATTAACCTACCGCTGTTTGGTCCAATGTATGGTGTTTCCAAGGGTGTTTCTTCTTCACCATTGTATCTTCCATTGAAAGTAAAACAGTTCCCAAATTCGATGCTCAGATATTCAGAGAAATTTCTAAAATAAAACTTTTTTGAGCTTAGAATGAACTAGACTTCGAAATGTAATTTTAATTAGAACAACAAAAAGAAATTTAGCACAATGATAATATAACAAACAGCAATGAAATTCTAAGGTGATTCTTGAATTTTGTATACGTAGATTCGTTATTTACTAGTCGATACTAGCTCTCATGCTTGCACTAAAATTCTCACAGAAACATATAATATTACGAATATTATTGTAGTATGCTAAAACAGTTTAAAAAGTATATTATAGATTATTCTCAAGACTGAAAGAAATGCAATGCGGTTTTTTAAATACAGCTCAAGAGTTTCAGTAGTTCATGCGCTGATCATTGATACAGTTCTTTGCAGCGAAGGTAAATGTCGTTGAACTTGGAAGATGCCACTGAGTGCCATATATCAGTAGTCTCAACCAAGCAGCCGGCGGGCAGAATGCGGCCTTGAAGCAATTTTATGCGGCACGTGAAGACAGTTAAATTATTTATTTGTTGCAAATACAATGTTGCAAAGATTACAAGATTTTAATTATTTGAAGTCCTAATTTTTCATTATTTTCATTTCCGTTAAAACAAGCATGAATCAATACCAGAAAATCTGTAAATGGAGTTAATTACTTTACACTGTGATATAAATCTTATTCAAAGATCTGAAGATGCAGATTTTGTTAATTAGCCGCCAGACTGTACCGAATTACTGCGGTACCGAAAGACCCGGGTTCGAATCCCGGAGATTTGGTTTTGGTTTATGTGATTACGGGAAAGCATCAAGGGCTATCTGCCTAAAAGAAGGGATGCCTTCATGGAGGAATTTCTAAGGGGAACTGGTTCGTATACACGTTACACATGGGGAATCGAATCCCGGAGAAGGTATGATTGTAACTATACGTTCCTTCATAGAAGGCAACGGTGGACGCCAAATAGTTGCTTCCACATTAAAATAGCCACCACATCTGGCCTTAGGCGTGGCCAACGCTGAATAGACAACTGCTCGCCGTTGGATTAAAGAAAAAAAAAAAAAAAAAAAAAAAAAAAAAAAAAAAAGATTTTATTAGCTTTTATTCGTACTTGTCAAAAAATATATAAGATCAGTTATAAAACTTCCTGCTAAGAATAATCGCTTTGCTTGGAAATACATTTACACGTAAACAACTTTTTTTCTCACAGCTGAAAACTAATAAAAAAAGTCCGATAGACCGAAGAGCATCTTCAATTCGTGATGAAGATAATTTCTCTTCAATGCTACATACTTTATCAGAAGCGAAAAGCCATTAAGTGTCAAGATGTTCTAAAAAATAAATAAATTTATAATCATTTACATACATGCATATGTATTTTTGTGTTTGCGTTGAAGGAAAATTTAATATATAAAAGAAAAAGGCTACATTGTTATTTATTCTCAAGTTTTACCCCACTTGGTAAATTTTGTCTTACAGCTTAAAAGGTTTTTATAATTTGTTTATTTTTTGTTTCAGTTATAAATAGTATTAAATAATAATTTGAATTTTTATCCATTGGGTCATTATTATTATCTTTTACCTTTGTTTTCATAAATATTAAGTGAGCAAAATTTAAAATTCATTTTAAATATTTTTTATTTTGTTAAGAAACTTTCCTTTCCTTATAAAAATTCGTTTTCCGTCAGCTGTTTTCAGATCATGCATTCGGCCGGTATGCAATTTGAATTTAAGACCAGTGCCATATATAATTAGCCTTCATGAAACTTTGGATGATCATGAAGGTAAAGAAATTTATAATTTCTACAAATTATATTTTTATTGCCGAACATGCAACACAACCAAAAGCAAAGGATCATTGCAGTTACAACGTAGTGTTTAAAAAGAAAAAAAAAATTCCACTCGTTCTGAGATTAAAAAAATTTGTCTCTAGAAAATGTAGATATTCGAAATATAGCTAAAATACTGGTTAACATTTAGTATGATAAACTTTTAACGTTAAAGCACTGGTAGCATAACATTAACATTTAAAGAACCTAGTAATGAGGAAATTGTTTAATAATATTATGTAAAAGTATTTGACTAACAAAAGGATGAGGGTAATTTATACTTAACCAAGAAGTAAAGTAATGCGCCTATATGTAAGGCAAATTTCATTATTTAACGCTATACTGGAAACCTTTGTCAAAAGGTTTCAAACGTGAAATAAATTTTAATGGTTTGAGACTGCACTTCGAACCAGTGTGACAAATCTCTCCATTTTGCACAGCAGTAGCAGATATTACACCTTTTAAATATATTTTTAATATTTATATTAACATTACACAGTGTGAAACAAAATGCGCTGAAAGCAGTTTTATGAAATTTCTGGGTTGCGTCAAAGAAAGAAAATTTTCAAAAAAAAAAGATTTCGTCAAAGAAAAAAGATTTCTGGGTTGCGTTGAAAGAAAGTACGTGTATGTGCTAGAGCATTGACAAAATGTTCCACTGTATAATGGGCAAAGAAAAATAAAGAATGCTATTTAATTAAAAAATAATGATTACATAATTCTTCATTCAACTTCACAAAAATGCCAATGCTTTTATTTTCAGGCATGCTAAAACTAATTATATAAAACAAAAATATATCTTTTTTTTAATTATTCGATATTACTTGCAAACTTTTATGAGTGCCCAAGTTTTAGAAAGCCCAGGGATGTTGGTTGCAAACGACTTCAGTATCAATTGACAAGAAATGAGCGGTGACCAATGTACAGTCTTTATAAATGTTTTATAATTAAGATGTTACAGTCTGTACAAATGTTTTGTAGGTATAAGAAAATATTAAAATCTAGTGCTAGAACTTATTTCATCGTAATTAAGAATGTGCGTTAAATACTTATGCTTCAAATTTTCTAATGTTAGTGCTTAATCTGTCATACTGTTTTAATAAGCCAGTTTAATATTTTAATTACAGTTTTCGTCGAAATTTTATCATTAAAGGAATGGATTCGTCACTGAAAGTTTAATGCAATTAATACCACTGTTATTCAAATTATAACAATTACTGAAAAGAAAATGTTCTCTCCGGATAATTTGAAATTCTATTATTTTAACTCTTTTATATTCTTCTAATTTTTTTAATACCTCTAGATAAACCGAATATTTTAAACATATATATCAGTAAAATAAAACTGAATAATAAAGCTGTAAAATCATAAAACGATATTTTATCATACTAGAATTTTTGTGAAGTGTTTATTAATGACAACGGTTGCGAAGTCGTTTGTTCAGTATTACTGTGTTTGTTTCACATTTTGTTTCTCTTACAATATGTTTTGTATCAGCACCTACATTTCTCATATAAAGCTTAGTATGATTATAATGGTTTAATTGACTGCAGTTGTTGTAACCACCTGATCCTCTTCTGGAGCTCAATGAGTAGCTAGATGACGGATAAGATAATTTCAACTATTACGATAAGCGAATGACATTCCAATGCACGTACAGTTGGAGTTGATTATGATCGTTACGGATGCTAAATACTATTCGACTGGGTCATAGGGACATTTCATCAGGCATGCAGATAATTTCTCACAATTAAATGATAAAATGTATATTACTATGAATGTTAGTGTTTCTCTGAAATGTCGAATTGAAATGCCAGACGAAGTCAAATTTTCGTTTGTAAGTAACATATATATCTATATAACAATTTGGAATTTCAAAACGAAGATTCTTGCAGTGATAGTCTGTTGAACAGTTCTGTTATTGTACACCTCACACTTTTAATATAAATGCAGATAAATTAGCTCTAAGCTACCTCGTTCATGAATGAATTTTCGCAGTTTTTAAGTAAGCAAGAAAAGCGATGAGAGTAAACTGATAAGTCAGAGATGTAGAGAGGGAATGTGCAGTTTCTGCTTTTTCTTGTTGGCCAAGATTAGGTTTCAGCTTGCTGACTTTAATATTGTAATTGGATGAAGCATTAGGTAAGTTTCTGCGTTATTAACGCTATGAAAGAATCAAGTGACAAGAATTATTTTTTTAAATGAAGCAGTTTAGAGCGATTTGTCATAAGAAGGTGCTAGTTTTAAGATGGGAAGGAGAAAGATCAGGATTAAAAAGAATAGTTAAGGTGCTATTGCAAATTAAAATTAGTGTTTTATCTTGCACATATTTTTTTTTGCATATCATTAGATGCAAGGAGTAAGGATATCTTTTATCTAATATATCGTAGGATCTAAGTATTCATATAGCTGGAATCATCAGGTCGGAGTACGCAAGTATTTACAGCCGTTTAAACGTCTGCATTCTGGCCAGAGTATAAACATTGCCAAAACATTTTCTGCTCCCCTCTCCAGCCTGAACAGCGGCCGAGCGGATAAGACTGCTGAATAATGAGGGTATGACATGGGTTCGAGCAGAGGCGAACGGGCTGGGCTGATTGGACACTGATAGCCACGTGAATAACTACCTCTTGTTCCTTAACCCCCCCCGCCTCTAAAGTTCTTTAATGCACACGGCATTAACTCGAGAAACCTCCTTTAACGTTTCTTTAATAAGAAACATCACAGTCAAATAGGACTGATTTAAAATACTTTAACCTATCAAATGAAATAAAACTGAAAAAGATTTTTAAACTATAGCTTCTCTCTTCCTTTAAAAAGGAACTTTCTTAGGCGCTTAACAGCGTCCTTTTTGGCCTTTAAAACCGCCATTGAATAGCGGTCAAAAATGCCAACTTCTCCCTCCCAGCTGATCACTGGTAGAACTACTTTTTTCGACCTGTAAACAGGTTCTCCCCTCCCTCCCCACTCGAAGAACGCGCATCGGAATTCCCCTGCGTATTCTTCATCTGACGTATGCAAAGAAAATGATTATCAAGGTTCAAGGAAACTTCACCTTTTATTTTTCTAGTCAAAATTTGTATGGCTGCCCCTATCTAAATTATTATGGCCCTTTTTCGGCGCAATATTAAGACCTTCTGAGTTTTTTGCCTTTTTTGACTCAGTGTGAAGGCACTTACTCCAAGTCATTCGGCTTATCAAAATTTTACCCTATTTGACAATCCCCTCTTTCGGATGATTTAATTTCCTTTGAAGATGTGGAGGTAAAGGCGTAATTGCCTATGAACTCCGTAAATTGCACTTCCTTGATCCTTGATCCTTGGGCTGATTGGTTTTCGTTGTTTTCTCCTTGTGTAAAAAGAATACGAGCCACGAAGGCATTCTTCCCATTACGCAGATAATCCTCGTATGTTTTGCCATAATAAAATAACCCAATCTAACCTCTTCTCATGTCGGGTTTTGGGGGATATAGATAATAAATTTTGGATGAAAAATTTCTGGGAAGAAAGAAAACGGAACAGAATTAAAAGAGAATGAAATTTGACAATGATTTTCCTTTATCAGATTTAGTCTGTATCGGGTTAAAAAATAACATTCAAGTAATTCAAGTAATAAATATTAAAAAAGCGTCATTTTGACGAGTAGTTGGAAATGTTTTCTATTTATTTTAGTAGTAATATGCATTTAATTATAAATTTAAATTCCTTTGTTGAACTTAAAGTTCTGAGTCTAGTAGAATGTCTAATTTTATATTTTATTTTTAGTGAGGGAATTTGTTTTTTCAATTTCAAAAGTAATTTCAGACTACTGTTTTCAAATTTTATAAGACCCTGTAAAAGACTTGAAAGTTTTCAAGTGTATTGGAATTCCTCATGTATAGTTAAATCCCCAGATTTTAAATATTTTCTTGCTTTAAAATGTGAATATTATCCTTTAAAAAACATTACATTAGAATAATCATTAAAATTTTTTCGAGCAATCTTTATAGCTTCTTCTATTGGTGGACATAAATTTTGAAATTCAGTTTAATGGCTTATATGGTAATTTCCCGTACATTAAGTAAGATGGTGGAAATTTTGTTGCAGAACGAAGCGTATTGTTATATAGTTCTCTAATCTGAGGTAGTAAATTTGCATGTGCAATATTACCTTGATAAGAATTGAATTTAATTTTAATGTAGTTATATTAGTTTTTTTGTGGTCTATTAGCAGTAGTGATAGCGTAACATTATGATTTTTAAAAAAAAGTTTAAATTTTGAAGAAGTAAATGCTGCATTTCTATTACTTAAAATTTCTTTAAAATCTAAATCTGAAAAATGTGTTTTAAAAGAAGAAATTACTTACATTAGAAGAAATTATTTACATTTAGAAGGAAATGTCCATTTATGGCAAGTAAAATGATCTATAGTAATGTAAATATACTTTTTAGGAAAAAAAAAACTTATAATAGTTTAAGCCGCCAACAGTATAAGTCGAACATTCAGTGTAATAAACAAGCCTAATGTCAAGAATGGCTCAACACCACAGAAATCTAATCGCTAGATAATCAAAGATAGCAGCGTGGTTTTCAGGTAAGCAGAAGACGCTCTGATTTCACCTTTCAAAAATCTTCCCTTAAATACTAACTCCATTCTACTTCATTTGAATATAAGCGCGCTAGTTCATTTGCATTCTGGCAAGAAAGTGTGAGTTGAAAGTAAGAGCGATAGAAAAGCTGCTTCAACATAAAATAACTGTTAAGTAAATTAAATAAATCCCCACAAATCCTACAATGCTAAAAGCCAGTTACCTTATTATAAAGAAAAACAAATATTGTATTTAATCATTCCACAGCTATCAGCAAATAGTTAGGCGGATCCATTTGTAAAAGACCTGCCTATTTTATCTCAAAGTTATTTAAATATTGTACCGTGTATTGTATGTATTATTTTCCTATGTACGTCCAACATCAAGAAAATTTCACATTGTTTTACAATAGAGAAATGTGAATCTTTTTATAATAGTGTTAGTAATTAACTATTTTAATATATTTGATGATTTTATGAAACAAACGAGTTTTAGGTTTTGTATTGAATGTAACACTTTCATGACAGAATTAGTAGAAGATTAAAGTAAGATAGAAGTATTCAAGCCAAGAATATAAAACTTGTATCATATAACTTCGAAAATTTAAAGACACTCTCCAAAAATATAGGACAGTTTTCAAGACACTTCTAGAAAACATTTGAAGAGCCTGAAAGCATTTAAATTAGGTTATCATTTTGTCTATACATTGTGTAATTTAATGGTTTAGTACGACTTGAAATATGCCATAACTGTATTTCCCATTAGTATATTAGAGAACTAATGGCAAAATGAGGAGGAGTAGTGAAGCTTCAAAGGCTGTGTGTTCATGATGAAATCTTTCTCATCTACATTTTTAATATTTAAAAAAGTATACTGAATATTTTAAAATATATTTTATACAGTAATCTGTCTCTTTATTTCTTATCCCTTTTTCCTTTAAAAAAAGCTTTTATGTGGCTAAGACTTTCTTTGTTTGAAGAGGGGGTATGAAAGATAAAAACATAGACAAGACAAAAAATTAATTTACAATAGCCCCTTAATTCTTCTTTTTCATTTGGTTATTTTCCTTCACCATCCTAAAAAATAGTAACTCCTTATAATAAATAACATGATTTAAAAATAAACCCTTCTCAATAATTCTTGCACAACACTAATAATACTGGAATTTACATAATACTTCAGCCAATAACAATTTTATATTTTGTGAACGGAGACTTTATTTACCAGTCATATGAAAGTGACAAACCATTAGACTGAAATATTCTTGACCAAACCTTCATTAGAAAAGTATTTTGTACTTTACAAAATACCATGACATAAAAGTACCATGACATTTCTGGCTTGCAAGCATGTTGTCCATTGCTGCTTCTTTTGTCTTTAAATATTCCCGAAAGAATGAAAATACGAATGTAACCATTCAAGAAAAGACACGCATTTTGCGCATGTTATTTTGTGGCTGAATAAAAATTTGATGCGTACAGTTAAAATTGTTCAAGCTACCCGACTGCATCGTATGAATCATCTGTTCTTGCTTGGCATCAACATCTAAATCATCACATACACACACAAGGACAGGAAAAAGTGGACGGAGCACCAGAACTTCGTCAGTGACTTTTAGAGGTATTGCTCCGCCGCACTACTGTACCCGCTGAGCGTTCGGTTGGCCCGCATCAGATGCCAGGCTAACAGGACATTACACACACACACACACATATATAATAAGTGCAAGTGTTAAAAGGGGATTTTAATTATATAAGGTGTCACCACATATTCAAGGGCCATAAACCAGAACCTGGAATAATAATTAATAAATCGATTTCAATTTTAGATTTTAAGCGCACTCTATCATTGCTGGAAATTTGAATTTCATGCTTGCTGCTGAAAATGACATCATGAAGCCTAAATCATATCATTAGTATTTATGCGGAAGCAACTGCAAACAAAGAAGTTCCTACTATTCAGTGCTTTAGATTAAAATTCGGTACTTCTATGCTTTCGGTTCTGCGCAGTGTGTTCGGCTCTGGGCAACCAATGCAGATCGTGCTCGTGTCAGGCCAACTTAACGTGGCTGCTAACCTGACATTTTAGCAAGTTAGCAGATTCAAAGTTGCCTGAGGTTTTGCTTGGAAAAACAATAATTCTGCCAGAGAGAGTTAAAAAATTCCTTGAGTATATACTTTGGAATGTATTGTCATGAATTAAAAATACATGCAATAGAATTCATAGTTTATTTGCTATGCTTTCAGGTTAGCCTCATGGTTTTAAAATGATTTTAAAACAGTAATGTGCATATATGCATTATTTGAAGTTTAAACATTATTTCTGAGGAAATTTATGAATTAAAATAAGACCAATATAACGTACCTGATGGAACAAGATTCACCATTGAAAGAGCATGATGTTATGAAGGAACTTCCTTTATAACCCATTTTTCGACGCGCTTCTTCGGATTCATCCAAGTAACGATTCAGAAAGGTCAACCATTCTATTCTTTCGTCACTGAACATGCCTTCAAAGTTCTTAGAACATGAAACATATTTTTTCCGTTCCTGAAATGTATTTTATTTTATTTTCCAATGAATGGAGTTTTTTAAAAGTAAATTAATCAGTACATGCAGCCTGGAAATACGACTTTGTTTATTATACGAAGTATTTATTTATTTATTACACGAATTTTATTATACGAATTATTTATTTATTATGCGAATTTTATTTATTTATATATTATACGACTTTATTCTATTTTTATACGAATTTATATTATTAATTATTTAGTCGTATAATAAATACGACTAATATTTATTAAACGAAGCCTTAGATAATGTAGATTTGGAATCCTGTATCACCAAGTGTAATTTTTAATATAAAATTCTAAAATTGACTGCTCTGCTGCAACAATACGTACAGTATATTTAACAGTCCTTTAATTCATATTTATTTGTTTCTCTCATTACTAATATCAGAAATAAATCTAGCCATCAATTTATGCACCTACCTAGATTTTAACTCTCTAGAAATTTTCGATATAACCGACGATCTGTTTTCTAGGTTGAGACCAAGTATTATTTAAAATGATTTTGTCCTTCTTGCTAATATTTTTACGGAATTTTAAGTTCAGTTTCATACATATTTCAATAGCATCAAAATATATAACAAAAACAGAAATTCGGTTATTTTTTACTCTTTTGAACTTATCTATCTGGAGAGTACCAATGAAAAAATCTGATACTGCAATAAAGATGCTTCGTAACATTCATGGTCTGAAACTTTCTATTCCTGGTATTACCTAATCGGCTTATAGAGGATAATTGAATTCATCCATAATTTGTTAATTCAGAGTCTTTTTTAAATTAATGTTCATCGTAATTAACAGCGGCAAGAAATTTCTGTTTAATTTCGTCAGTAGCATTAACAGTAAAAAATACTTTAAATAATTTATCTGTCATGTAAATATATGCTTTAGTGTGCAGTTATGTCAAACTCATATTTCCCAGCAAGTCTTTAGAAAGCCTTCTCTAAGTGCTTAAACGTATCTTTTAATAACATTTCTTGCTAAATATCTTACTAGCCTACAAATGTTTTGAAACAGATTAAAGCATTTTGTACGCATATATAAACTTGAAAACTGTACCACTAGTTCTGCATTTATTTAACTCTATATCATTAGATCGGGAATGTCGAACATTCTGTTTTGCAGTAATGTAAGCCTATTTTTCCGCAGTAAAGAAAGGGGAGGGGAGTTGTATTTGCTTCAATAATAGGTCATGCATATAATACCTCGTGTCAGGGATTCTTACAAGTTTTTAATTTTATATTATATAAATAAGAATAAAAATATAAATACTCTTACATACATGCGCCATGAGGCGCGCCATTTTACATTCATTTAAATCCTTTGCATAAATATTGTATCCCCAAAAATAATGTAACGTTCTATTAGTGGTACATGTACCATAGTTAGAGAAATTTGGACCAAAGATCAAGGATGTTTTCTTTGTGGAACACCTTCCCCTAAGTCAAAACTGCGCATACTAACTGATCTTCATGAGCATGAAGAAGATCTCTGTTAAAAATGGGCTACGATTAGTAAAAATGGGCAAGTTATGTAAATACTAACCCTACTTTTCGGACTTCTGCTTGGAGCACCAAACTAGTCGTTAATGTTGAAATAACCAGGTCACTTTCGAATCAGCAGGTGATATTATCTAACTGTTATTTGAAACTAATCACTAATATTCAATTCTTGTCTTACCCAAAGCGGAAAAACATTTTGGAGAAAGATATTTTCAAACTTTATTTTCTTGCGGAGTAAATATTTATTGATAGTGCAATGCAACTAAAATTTTCATCCACGCCTTCTTGATATAACTTCCCTACCTATTTTTGGCTGCTTCGAATCTGAAGCTGATGTTATCTTCTCTTTGTCGTTTTTATTTGAAATTAATAACTATTACCTATTATCTGAAACAAGTGTTATTTTTTTGTTACTTAAATTACAATGAATTAAGCGGGAAAAGGATATTTTTAAATTTTCAGTTTATATTTAAGGTATTCTTTGAATTTCTTGAACTTGATTTACGCTGAGATGTCTCTGTTTTAATGGTCGTATAACCTGTTTAAAATTTTTATTGGGGCGCTAATAATATAGTCTCCCTGCATAAATAGAAACGAGTCTGGCATATCTGCCACTATGAGAAATATAAATGAGTCTGATAAATAACAAATGAAAAATACAACTTACGGATGCAACTACGCGGCGAAAGGTTTCGAACTGACGACCGCCGCAGTTTCTTTCTTCACATTCATCTATGGTCTTGTTGTTTATTAGACAATGGTAGTAAAACTTCGGTACCCTAAAAAGAATCGCTATAAAGTACCTGCATTCTGCTCATACTTATAAAAGGAAAAATATTGATCAATAAAGTTTTAAATACTTCTGATTTATGTGTTCTAAGTATTTTCAATATACTCTAAAGAGGAAATACGTTTCTAAAATTCAAATTTTTGAAACTTTCTTTTGGCAAATAAAACATCATCTCCAGCAAATAATTTCTTACGTAAAGCTTGCCTTTGTCGCAGTATGATTCAGATTATGTCATGATAATATCTTGAGTATAATTAGTATAATGAAACTCGTGAACGAAATGGAACTGATTTCTCAACGCAAATTGCAAAATGCAAATTAATAACATGAACAACTTTTAAATACTTCTGTTACACTACAGATTAACGGGCAAATTTTAACATGTGACTACAGAGTTAAGTTTAAGCCTAGCAAAATAGTAAATTATAGTTAAAGCCGTTTACCTAAACCCACAAGTTTTGATGAGGAACAGGTATGCAGTATTAAAAGAAGTGAAGGAAAAGAAAACGGTACTCACTTGAAACTTTCATATTTTTTATGTTATGACTAAAGGCTTCGTTGTTGAGAACAGCTGAATATATATTATGTTGACTGCTATATCAGTGAATAATAAAAGCATAAAACAGTACCTAAAAATAATGTAGTCTGGAATTTTAAAAATTAAATCCCACTTAATTCATCTTGGATATCATCAACATTTTAAAGCTCCTAAATTCGATCCCAGTTGATCAGACTCATATTTGTATTTATAAATTTTCTGCCGCTATAATAACACGTATAAACTACGAACATTTAGTAGAAGTTACGCAACGCTTTTGCTGGTGTACTGAAAGCACTCTTCTTTACATATTCAAAGGTTCCAGAGTAGTCTTCCAGTAGAAGCAAATCTTATTAATTTGTATTGCTGTTTACCTCGAGTTCTTGAATGAACAGACCCAGGAATAATTATAAAAGGGTATACAGAATGTGCAACGGTGCGCTAGAAGGTTCAGGATCAAGGGGTATGTGACAATATAACTTTTGCCCAGATTTCTTCCTTTAAGTTTTGATCAAGAACATATTTGGAGATGGTATTCGACCTTCCGTCCTACTGCAAAACCCCAGAGAAGATTTCCGAACCGATGACTATTTAAGTGGCACTATTTCATTATAATCTACAGTTATATTCGCATTCCAGAATTCGAGTAAAAGCGGCCTTTTCTAACCACCTTACAGACTTCGACAACACAAGATTTGCTTCGAGCTATTTTACTTATCTCTAGGACCTCTGGAAAGAAACTGCATTTAGTAAATTCCGTCATCTGTGAATTCATTCTATGAGTATAAAATATCAATGCGAATCTTCGGAGCAATTTCCCAAGCTTTCAGTACTAAATCTCATTTTAACCAATTAACGGCAGAGTACGTGAATCAAAATACCCAGTTTAAAAAATATGGTACGGATAAATGTATCCTGTAATACCTAGTTTTCAAACGATAAGGAAGAGATCTGCGTCTTTGAATCCTCCTAAACAAAATTAATGTAGCAGAAGAAAATAAAATGAATTATTTAAGGCAGTGGCTGTCAACTTTTCTTGCTCCATACCTTCTTTTACAATGTAAGGCAGAATATTCTTTAGCTTATTTAAGATTAAATTTCTAACAGTACGTAAAATTAAAAATATTTTATTTTGGTATGCCAAAAAGGATAAAACTCCGTAATATCTGCGTTAATTATTTCAGTTTTTTTTGGTTACAAGATTTCAGCTACTACCTTCTCACTACGCAGCCGTTAACCTTTTGTTGCAGTTTGAGTATACCAGGTACAGGTAGAAGTTAGGTCAGCACCTCCGTAGTACCATAGGTGACTCAGGTATTGCTGAACTTAGCTAACTGTTAAGCTTCCACCCAAAATCTGAGGGATAACACCCTGGGGTGAGCGCTCCGAGGGTCTCACACCTCTCCCCACACCAACATCTTGAGAGGACCCCGGCTCGCCGCGCACTCGAAGCGCCTCCACGCCCCACGGACACTATACGTCTACAAACATCCATGCACCCTCCGGGACTCGAATCCGGCCCACCAGCACGGCAATCAGTGTCACCAACCACTATACTGGCTAGGCGGCAACCCAAAAGTCTGCTATTCACTTTGCAACATACTGTTCACATCACTTATTGTCAGTTACTGTTTGTGCTCTGTTATAACCATTTGCTTGCATTCTTTCGATGGGGATCTCTTCTTGGCACAGCTGTTCTATTTGGCAAAGATCTCTACCAATATTTTGCAGTTGCTTCACTATTTTGCATATGGTATCTCTTGGTCCTTTTGTTTTAAATAAAAACATTTTAAAAGGCTGGAGGTTTGTAGTTGGACATGCAACGTGACTTATTCTGTGAGGTCGCAATTGATGGTCGGGCTCACCTCTTTCTCCACATACGCAAGTATCTGTATTTCAGATGTTTCTTTCGAGAAAGTATATTGGAAAGGGGCCGTGTCCCGTCATATAGTAGTTCAGAAAAGAGTTGCTAAGTAGACTAGAAGAGAAACACGCTAATGTGACAATCAAAATCGTAAACCAACCTTGTATTTAGCGTAGGTATAATGAAACACTCATCGATTCGAGGGCGCTAAACGGTCCCTCCTCATAGGAGAGAAATCCCTCGAAAGAAGAAAATAAGGAGAAGGAGTCACAGAAACACGTGGTCCTTCTTAGCACTGCACGTGGTTATAACTATTTTTAATCAGCGTTGCATGGCCGCCTCCTTTACTGAGCCCGGCTATCTGATCGAGCATAAAAATTTGCGAAGTTAAAATAGGAGCGAGGGGCAAATGCACTTTACGCTCAAATCTGAACTTCAAATAATTCATTATTTTTCCCTATTTTAACTTCGCTTTTTTTATGTCGATCAGATAGCTGGCTCGTAAACGTAGGCGGCAGTGCAACTTGATTAAAATCTATTAACCACGGCAGTGCTAATAGTACCACGTGTTTCTGTGACTCCTTCTCCTTTTTCTTCTTTCTAGGTCTTTATTTCTTGATGAGGGGACCTTTAGCTGCCTCGAAATCGATTGAGTTTTATACCTACGCTAAATACAGGTTGTTTTCGATTTGATAGTGCTAAGTAGTTCTTCTGTTGAGACTTAGGTATTTTTTTGAAGCGGGGAGATGAAAAATGACCAGTGCCCTCGCGGGACTCGAACCACCCCACATAGCGCCGAGCTGCTGCTACATCAGGAATGCATGCTAAGAAGGGGGGAGAAATACCTTATATACTTCCGCTTTTAAAGGGCGACTGGGGATTTGGGGACCCAGTCGCCAAATCCTGGTGGTGGAGAATCATCATCCACCACCTTTTTTAATTAGGGCGATATTGTAGTGACATTAGGTTTTTTTTAACCTGGAGATGTGAAAAATGAACAATTGCTTCACAGGGACTCGAACCACGGAACTCTCGAATACGCACCGATTATGCTGACCATTATACCACGAAGGCATGCTAAGAAAGTGGGAGAAATACCTTATATACTCCTCCTTTTAAAGGGCGACTGGGGATTAGGGGACCCAGTCGCTAAATCCTGGTGGTGGAGAATCATCATCCACCAACGTTTTTAGTTCGCGCGATACTGTACAGACATCAGGTTATTTCGAAGCAGGAGACATGAAGAATGTGCAATGCCCTCGCCGAGACTCGAAACATGGACCTGTCGATAACGCGCCGAGTGTGCTGAACACTACACCACGAAGGCATGCTAAGAAGGGGGAAGAAATACCGTATACTGTGTTGAAGTTAGTTATGTAGTTTTCTTCCTTGACTGGCACTGTCCCATTCCTTTTGCCATACAATTTCTCCGATTTTTCTAATTTATATTTTTGTGCAGATTTCGTCCAGGGGACTTTGATTATTTCACTGTTTCTGTTTTTGATAGCGTGCTTCGCCAGGGAATTTGCTTGCTCGTTCCCCAGAATTCCGCAGTGGGCTTTGATCCATTCTAATCGGATAAGGATGTCTGGGCTGGAGCTTGTAGTATTGAGGATGTCTTACATTATTGTGTTTCTACTGTTATGATTTTTTAACGGTTCTAGAGCTGATTTTGGCTGTCCGATTTAATAATAATTTATTTTAAGTTAATCCTGATTGAAGCAAGAATTGCTTGATAGATGGCTACTAATTTTGCTTGAAAGCACTATTGTATGCCTCTAATCGACTTGTAGGGTGTTTTGACTTTGATGTTGGTATTAATAGCTGGATGTATTTTGTATATTATTTTTGGGATTTCGGAATTAATTAGGCTAATTGTAATATCACCTAATGTAAAGGGAGATTTTAAATGCAGAATGGTTGTTTTTGCAGCTTCTTTCGTGACTTGTATGTGCAAGAGAAGGATTCGTACTAGAATACATAGAGCTTTATTTGAGGTTGTGCGAAATTCCTTTGTCATCTGAAAAAGAAAGCTTCTCTGGATTGCAAAGAGTATTAGTTTTTCCGTTCATTCAATTTTTAAGCCCAAATCGCTGCTCCATATTTGACGCTGTTTTGTGAAACTGTCCTGTAAAGAATTTTCCTTCTTTGGGGTCTTAAGTCCCAACATTGTCTCAGTATTCTACGTAACTTTATTGCTATTTGTATTGTTTTCTTTTTTAATTCTTCCAAGTAGTTTATCATGTCGAATTTGTTGTCTACTACGATTCCTAGAAATTCTATTTGCTTGGTAATTTTAATTTCTTTTTCCACCTAGGCTGAATTTGGGAAGTCAAGTTATTTTCTGTCTTGGCTTGTGTATGATTATGGCCTTGATTTTTTTCCTTGTGATATAATAAGTTTTAGTTTCTGGCACCCTATTTTTTAAATATCAAAGTTTCGTTCACATTTTGTTAAAGGATTTCTTTTGAATAGCCACTTACTACAAGAGCAGTGTTGTCTGCGAATGTAACTAATTTCGTGTGGGTGGGAAAGGTACTTTTGACTATTTTGCTATCGATCATTGCCCACATGTCTGCACTGAGGCAAGATCCTTGTGGGTATCCTCTTGTTTGTGTTATTTCTAGTTTAATATTGTTGAGTATCAAAATTCTTTTTCTATCTTTGAAATAGTAATTTAGTAACCAGTAGATATTTCTTAGGCATCTTGTTTCGGCTACAGCTGTCATTACTGCTGGCCACCAGTCGGACGTACTGGTGGGAGCAGTACGTTCGACTCCCTACGTATCGTAAGGAGTTGAACGTACATTTTAAGTCCATCTGATATTGGCGCTGTGTTTATTTTTAGCTTTATTTTTATTTACTTGTTTAATTACTGCATCAGTTGAGTGGACTGTGCAGCGATTTGGTCGAAATCCATATACATTTGGTGCTATAAAATTATTTTTATAAATTTGATGCCTGATCCTTCCTGCCACTAATCGTTCAAGTGTCTTCCCTATGGCAGGCAGCAGATTTATTGGCCTGTATGATGACGGATGTCTTGGATCCTTGTCCTTCTTGGCAAAGAGGATTATATAACCTGTTCTTAGATATGCTGGGAAAATTGTTTTTTCCAGGTATTTGTTGAATAGTGTTGACAGGAGGTTTTTGTCATACCAGTCTCTTGAGAGCCCCTGATTTCCTTGCCTATTTATTTGAATACAAGAGGAGCACATAAGGGCTATGTCCTTTAGTAAAAGAATGGCTTAGTGAAGAGTCTTTCTCAGTGAAATTTTTGCGTATTTATGTTACATATGGAGAAAACTAGCAAAACGCTAATGCAGTCCATTTATTCACCATGCTAAACTGAATAGAACAACGAGAGTTAATCTGTCTTAATCTCAATCAGGCACCATGTATGTCCGAGTGGTTAAGACCTCAGAATACTGGCAGTTTGATCTGAGCTCGGAACTAGGTAAAGGGGCTTTTTTTTTTTTTGAATACATGAATGTTTTTCGTGGTTTCCTCCCATGTGAGACGCGAATACGAGCGCGTAAATTCTTAATAATTTCCTATTAATTAAATTCCTAATAATTTCTCTTAGGAAGTTCCCCACGACGACGTCTCTCAGTTTTGGGCAGATGTCTCTGGCGTACTTTCCCTATTCAATTAACTTAACCTATCCATAACTTAAGGGGTGTTGGAACCCAAAAATCTTCAAAACATTGTGATTTCGGATTTTTGCATTTTCGAATTCTCTACACTTTTATCTTTATAAAAATACCATTCTTTAATCTCTATGAAAATTAGAACTGTAAAAATTCTAGTTTTAATTTGTCATCGAATGCTTTAATCAATGAGGAATTTTACATGAAAACGCGTTGTTCTCCAAACGTGGTTTTTTTATATTCGATGTACCTTTTCTCAGAAACTACTGCTCACAGGTATCTAAAATTTTTATGGCTTAAGTTGCCTAATAGTTGCTGAAATAAGCTTTTTGTGATAAACTTAAAGGAAAAAAAGTTTAAAAATTTTGTGTGAGAAAAGTGCTAAATTTTACTATGCCTAACAAAATATTCTGTAAATTACTCTAAAATTCAAAATGTTTCAAAAGCTCATTTCAATATAATCAGATAGGTATACTTTAATTACTCAAAAAATTTCAAAGGTGTATCTACAGCAAATTTTAAGAAAAGGTACATCGAAAATGGCCAACTTAATATTGTCGGTATAGGGTTTGCTGATAATCTTTAAACCAAGGATTCAGCCATTAAGGAGCCGTACCCACGATTTAGGCAAATATAAGAAAGCGCAGTGGTGAAGAAATTATAAAAACGCGCTTTCCAGAAAGGTAAAGGTACTGTGATATATTTTAAATATTGGATCTGAGCTTTATATCTAAAAACTGGGAAGCATCAGAGAGGGAGGTGAAATAGCTTGGTCACTTTAACTGAGACTGTAGCTTTTAATTACTGTAAATCAATGAGTCTAGAAACGCAAAGATAATTCTTCTCGAAGCTAGGATTTTTGTTAAAGACATTTTACAAAATTTTATTATTATGCGTTTCATTACAAAGAAATTGCTATTTTATCAGATTGCGTAGTTTTGTGGTTAAGCTGCTTGCATAGCAGCTTCAGTAATAAAATAATTTATTAAATTTGTAAAATTATAAGGGGCGTACCTAGTCAGATTATTAGTCGTAATCAAACTGATTCATTCTTAATTTTTATAATGAATTAATATTGTGGGATATTTATAGTCTTTTTTATATAATACATAAAATATATTAAATGTATTAACTTTTTCAAACTGAATGTTAGTTAATTATCATTTTTGTTAATATAGATTATATAGAAGAAATATTTTATAGGGAATTACGAGGATGATGGTAAACATTCGTCACTAAAGTACATATCAGACAAAAAAATCAGTAAAAGGCTAGAAAATTTACCTCGTATTTTGTAAAATCCCTTATTTTTAAGCATTCGATTATCAAATGAACCTTGCTTTTTGCTTTGATTACAAGCTACAATTAAATGCTTAATGAAATCAGTAGTCGTCAGTTGGGGGCACGCAAGTTGAAGGTCATTTTCTGTACACTGCAGCAAAGTTCACATTGTGGGACTATGTCTAAATTTGTGAGCATTTCCCTAAATGATGGATATTAAAGAAACTTGGATTTATTGAACCAAAGTGCTAATAGCGATTTTATCTTGGTATATATTTTTCTGTTTACAATTTAAATAAACTTGTAAGGTTCTTATGTTAAATTAAGCAGTTGTTATGATTTTGATCTGTACTATAACCTTTTCTTTCTGCATTCCTCACCACAATGCATGTTAGCTTTCAGAGTACATAAGCTGAGGGTTTTGAATCTTAGAGGGAGCCTTACTGTCACTCGCGCCGCGTTGTTAGAATTTCACCAGCTCTACCTAAAAGTGATTATTCCGGGTCTAAATTTTCTTGCAGCAGATACTTTAAACTTACGCACTGGTAAAACTGATTGAGCCGGTTTATATCTTAGAAGCTTAGTTATTTGACTGTGTAGCTATAGACTACTTTATCAACATTTAAATTCATTTGACTGTTATTGTTTAATTCATATCGTCACGAGAGGTAGTTTGTCTGTAGCACAAGTCTTGCGTTTTGTGTTAAGTTAAAGATTTACAGAAAAAGGGTAATTTTCAGGACTTTGACACTCTACTTCAGACGTAGCGATAACCTTCCAATATTTTTTGGTAAGGTATGTAGGACTTTACGTCATCTTTACTTTGTCAACGTTTAAATTTATTTGACTGTTATTGCTTACTTTACATCGCCACGAGAGGTAGTTTGTCTGTAGCAAAAGTCTTGCCTTTTATGTTAAGTTAAATATTTATATAAAAGGGTCATTTAAAACCTTTTCACAGGTAGATAAGAATATTATTTCTAGAGGAGATCTTGAAGATTTTCATGATCATGGAACTACAAGACCTCTCTTTAATTGCCCTCAAACATAATTACAAGATATCCCCAGTAACCATATGGATAGAACATATCCCACATATGTTTCACTCAGCCGAAAGTTTCAATGACATAGCAACTACAGTTTTTCTACACCACAAAAATATGAATGCTTATCAACGCTTAAAATATTACATATTGTAGATAATAACTTAATTAAGACATAGCCAAATAATCACGAATTAACGTTTGGATGCTTGTTGCAGGTTAAATGTATTTACAAGTTCCATTATGAAAATAATGACAAGAATTTCAAATATTGATCATTTAGTAGCAATGATTTACGCTTAGACTTCTTTGAAATAAAATTTTAACTGATAAAAAGTTCTGAAGCGGTTAGAAGACGTATGAAAAATATTTTCAAAAACAGGTTTGTGTTTTGATTAGGACCTCTAACATTATGCAACTCGTTCTAGATATTTTTTCATTCTACGTTATAAGCAAATATCTCACATTTTCTAACTAAAAGATATTTATTGAATAAATAAGATTAACTACCATATTTTATTTTTAAGAAAAGGTAATGGAATACAATAGGTAGAATAGAGTGTAACTCGTTTGCATATATATGATTCAGGTTTTAAAATGCGAGGGTAACAAAAGTGCGAGTATGTTTTCATGTTTAAAAGTATCTAATAGTTTTTCTGAAAGCAACAAATTATTCAGATACACAAAATTTATAGATATATAATTTAATGTCTATTAATTTTCTGAATGTATGAAACATCTTCCTTGATTATCGGGTGGTTTGTTTACAGATTATTACTGATGTCATGGAAAAGAATATTGAGTTGGAGTAAATGAAAGAACTTACAGTATAAGAAAGTTATCTAGAAAACAGTATCTTTTACTTCTTTGGCTAAAAGAATTTTTTAGTTACGTTTTCTGCAAAGAACTAATTTATAATTTTAAGAAAGTTTGAACCTTACCTGTTCAAGTTACAGACTGTTACAGCGGGAAAATCAAGTTTCCAATTGTTTTTCACTTCTAGAGTGATGACTACGGGGTACTGAAAGTACAAATTTAAGAAACGATATACTTCATATGAACACCCCAGCAATCCTAGTATAAGAACAAGAAACCACAGAAATTTGCGACCACTTCCACTTGATGTGACTAACTGCGATACGGCATAAACCGAAGACTTTTTCAAAAGATTTAGTATCACAAATTTTAAATTTTCATTTTCTTTCTCGTGAGTAGCATTGCAGGTAGGAAGTGTTCTAATCTCTAAAGATGACACTTTCGAATTACTTTCTGATGCAGACATAGTACCCTTGTTTTAATTGAATAACTAAGAACTTAACTTTCTACTTAGCGAGAGTGACCGAATAGAATATAACTCGTTAAATGCAACAGTCTCCCACGAGCTCAATGGAGGTTTAAACATGCCAACACAAGAGGGCGGGTCTTCTTTCATCTCTTCGTATATTATTTACAACAGATAAAAGTGGAACTAATAAAATAATGTATGTTCACGGATGGCATCTCTTTGTCTCTTCAGATAAGGGTCATAATACATTTGTTTTACAGCATATGAGACCAATTCATTTAAACTAATGACGGGATGGCTGATTGAAACATAAATTACTAATTTCCTCGTCACGCCATACACATTTGTGTGAATAATAAATCTATATTCATTCACTGGTAGTTTTAACTTCTTTTACTACATACTTCTTTTACTTTACTGAAAACGAGGATTAGTCTTAAAAACAGCTCGTACTTTTAGTGGAATCAGCAAGAAAATACACGTGCTTAATTAAGTTAAAGGTAGTGGAAATCTATGCTAATAATGCTGAATTTTGTTCACCTTAATAAAGCACATATAAAACTGGATTTTGGAAGCATGTTTCTCTCCACTGTTCAAAGTATTGTTTATAAGGCTAATATTTAGATATCTACTTTTGCTGGTAGTTAAAACTTTCAGCTAGCTTTATTATTCTAAATGTGGTCTGAGCTATCTAACATTTGGGTAGGTAAAAGGTTATGGAGATGGCGAAGAAGAGGATTCTTTTTTTATTATAGCTACGGCAATTGTTACACTTGCTTTAATTTTCAGGTTTTATTTATATTAATTTTTTTGTGATGATTCTATTAATATTCATAGAAGTAGGCAGTATCTGTAACTAATAAAAATGATAATCGAATTTTAGCAGTTTCACGTATGGTTCGATTATTCTCAGAATGAGAGAGCTGCTTGAGATTTAAGCATTCAAACAACTATTTTATAAAACGCGTTTTTGTAAATGCGTTTCAAAAGGAAACTGATCATGGGAAACTCAAGATGAATTGTTTTTGCTCAGTTGACTTATTCTTTCAGTAATATTCCTAAAGAAGGAAATCTCTCCAAAGGAAATGAAATGAAATCTCTCCAAGGTAACTATAATCAATTAATTCATTGTAATTAAATAATAATTAAATAAATAGATGAATATGATTTTAATGATGTCGAAGTAAAATATTTTTCTTGTTAGTTAGAGAGATTTTTAATTATCAAGTTATACTGTCTCGTATTCCTTGGAAACAGAAAATGTACGAAACGTCTTAAGACTTAAAGTGCATTATTCCTACGCCTTGGAAAGTAACACAGGGACTGAGATAGGGTATAAAGGACTTTTTTTATTTAACTCAATTAAAAGTTAACAGAAGGTACCAACCACTCAGGCTTACAGAAGTCAGCTTTTACAGCTTAAATAAACGGTACTGAATTTGACTTAAGTAAGTAAAAGTAAGTTAGCCTAACGGCTACACAAATAGAGATACGCGCAAGTTGGCTCTGGCCTAAAGTCAGCGTGACAAGCCTAATCGCGAGAATAACGCAACGCACAGACTACTACTCTCAAAAGAATCAAATTAGCAACGTGGCCCTCTGATTATAACCTCTAAATCCTTCCTTTAAGTACTACTTCTCTTCTACCTCATCTGAATATCAAGCGAGCTAGAAATTTGCATTCTGGCAGAAAAATGAGAAACGAGGAGTACAAGAAAGCATTTTAAAATAAAATAACTGGTTAATAAACTAAATGAGTCCTTACGTCCTTACAATTTTTTTCCTGCGCGGAATTTAAGTATATTCAAAAGTGTTTAATAACTTACTTAAGAACTTGAATTCTAAATATTTTTGAGCCAAGTTCTTACAATAGCATAGAACTTAATCTAAACTAATTAATTTTACATGACAAAAAGCTGGATCTTGTACACATCTCTTCCATTTACAGTTTTCAGCTGCTTAACTCCTTCCAGATACCTAGAAGGAAAAGACTTTAGCAGAAAAATTCAAAACATAGTACATTATTTCAATTTAAATTATTTCTTCTGAGCCTTTCCTGATTTAGAAAATTCATTTCAAATTTATCCGAATTTTCATTCAGCTCATGTATTCTATCAATAAAATCTCTTCTCTTCAGTAAATTATACTATAGGGATCGAGACAGTGTCCTTTGTATAAGTAGAACAAATCTACAACCTAATCCGCAATCTATATATTAGAAATTCGGACACGGGGGGGGCCTAGACCTCAAAAACACTTTAATTTCAAACCTGCACCTAATGTGCAAGTTTAGTGTTGGCTGGAGAGCCTAACCTTAAACTCTTGCACACGAATTTTAATTCTTACAGCTATTCACGTTTTAATTTATTTAAATAGATATAATTAACAGTACTTTTAACCGTTACACTGCAAAACATAAGACATACCACACGAAACAAAACAATTACAATACATTAAATTAGAAAATTCAGCTTTCACTTTACATCAAGGCGCACAAGTTAGTTAGAATATCGTTACAATTTCGTTAGCATTTCCTCACATCAGATTCTCAGACTGAAACAATGTTCTTGTTTCTAAACTAAATTAGAATGAGTATGAATAATTAAAATTTAACTTCCGAGCTTCTTGGGACTTACGTAACTAAAATAACCTCACTTGAAGCAAAATTCAAAAATATGTTAGCAACTCATGCGCTCATGGACATAAAACTGAATGTTAATAAGGCGATATTAAGTTTACAGCTATCTTTCTGTTTTTCGGTAATAATCTGTTCTTTTGTTCACACTTGCAAAGTGGGATAGACACTTACTTGTCGTACATAGAATCGTCTTCGGGACTGAGTCTTCTTCTCAGGCGGGGCTTTCCTTTCTTTGGGGGCATCTCGGACTCTTGGCACCTTTCCCCGACTTTGGTGGTGGTGGTAGGGAAATGCTCCGTGTTCACCTGGCCGGTTCTTTGGCTTGAATTTACCGCTGGACCTTTCTGCAGCAATTTAATTGAACCGGAATGCTTGAATTTCTGCTGTCTCATCTGCGTAGTTGAAGGTTACTTGGCTGGGCATTTATTCCGTAGAACTTTCGGTGTCGATTCCTCGATGTACTTGGGTCCTGGCGGTGGGACGTTTTCTTAAACGCTGAGCGTACGCTTAGAATCCTTCATGATAATGAACGCTTCGTCTTGGACACTTGGTCTCCGACCCTGTAATTGATTTCCCGCCTTTTTCTATCATAGTACAGATTCTGTTTTTCCCTTGCCATATCCGAATTTTTCAGTGCTATTATCTGTATATCTACCATTTTGAACTCTGGCGCAGGTTTCTGCACAAAGAATAATTTACCTATGGACATAATTAGTTTTCGGCCTAAGAATAGTTCTGTTGGAGTCTTTCCTGTTGCGTCATACTTAGCTGATTTTAAGACAATTGCTAACTAACTGACCTGGCTAGCCCAGAGCATATGATAGTTTGTTCATAGCAAAAGTATACTTTTAACTATTATTTAACTTATTGACCCACTTCGCTATTTCTAAACGTTAGCTTTATGCTATTGAAGTATCCGGCCGGGCTATAATTAACATCGTTTTTAACCAACAAGTATGGCACGACATATTATACGTACACAAAAAATTTTTAGCGGCGAAAAATATGCCGCCTCACGAACACGTTGTACTGTTTTCTTATTCCCAATTGGACAGAAATGGGCGAATTGTGTAATTCGCTTAGAACACTTAAACTAGGTGGGATAACTGGTTTAAGCTTGTAGTTTTGATCTGTGGTTTTCTCATAAAGTAAAAGATTGTCGATAGTTAATAGTTCTGGGATCTATTTCTGATAGCCGTAATGCCGGGTGCCCAAAATGGTACAGAACCTTCAAATACGAATGAATGTTTAAAATTCGGGATGATTTTGTAGTTCTTGTACGACAGTTTCTCGTGAGTCGAGGATTTTTGCCTTAAGCATAGCATATGTTACCTTATTATTTCCTTCCTCATCCAACTTTATTCTTGTGCATCGACCATCGTACTCTCCTAGCCGGGAGTATGTTTAATAATTAAGTTGAATTTTTGAAGTTTAAGACCTACCTAATTAAGCTTGGCAATAAATTCTTTACTGAATATAATCGCGCTACGGCCACATGAGAAGAATAAATTGTAACAGGCGTTTGCCAAAGTATACTCTGAATATTTGTACTACTAATAAAATTTCGAGCTTTTCTCACTCTGTGGCGGTACAGTTTCTCTGTCTTGGATTGAGTGTTTTACGGAAATATGTCCCCGGTTGACCTTTTGGCCTTAATTGCACCACTGCGTAATCGGAGGCATCTGCAGAAATTCCTCAAGTTTTGTCGCCTTCATTAAACTTTAACACATGCGATTGCAATAGTTTTTCAAACGCCGTATTGGCCTCGGCTGACCAAGTAAAACGGGCTTTTTTCCTTTTTAATTGTAGCAAGGATTCAGTTTTTTTTAGCAACAATTTCTTTGTAGCATTCACAAGAGGATAATTTTTGATAGCTACTAGCTTAGAGTTTTCAGTTTCAAATCCTTTCTAGGAAATTTTTTATCCTAAGTATCGAAGTTCTGGAGCTGCGAACTAGCACTTGGAGACATTTACTTTTAGTCCAGCTTTGTTTAGAGGCGAAAATACTTTTTATAAGTCTTTGATATGTTCGCCGATTGCTTCACTAGTAAGTATTATATCGTCTAACTAGATGAATGTATTCTTCCCAACAAGGAATAGTCTTAAGATTATATCCCTTGCGCTGGAAAAAGGCGGATGTTTCGCATAAGCCGAACGATATTTCGAAAAATGAGTAAACGTCAGACTTCGTAATGAACGCAGTTTTCGTCACATCTTCAAGCTTCAAACCAATTTAGAAATAGCCAGATGTTAGATCCGACGTTGTCATGAATCTTGTTTATTTAGTTTTTCAATTAAATTCATCAGTTATGGGGAGTGAATAGAGAAGATACTTAGTTATACTGTTTTCTCAAGTCAACGGCGAAACGCCATGCGTTGTGGTTAGTAGGTGAGAGATATTTCTTTTTCCACAGCACTTTCGGGCTAGCGT